CAGTTTTCACTTGTATTTCTCTAATGACTAGTGAGGCTGAACATCTTCTCATGTATTTTTTTGGTCATTTGTATATCTTCTTTGGAGAAATGTCTATTCAAGTCCTTTGCCCATTTTCCAATTTTTCTTGCTATTATTGAGTTGTAGGAATTCTTTACATATTGAGGATATTAAACGCTCATAAGATTTGCAAATATATTCTTCCCATTTCATGGGCTATATTTCTTTTCTTTTTTTTTTTTTTTAATTTTATTTTTATTTATACAAGAACTGGGGTATAGGCCAGAGGCATGGGAGGGTGAGAGAATTCACCAGAGATAGAGTGGGGAGCAGAACAGGCAGACGACCAAAAACACTGCTGAGGGGAGCAGTGGGCGCAACAGGAAAGGACTGCCTCGCCATGTGGGTAGCTTCCTGGCTGGCCAGGAATTGAACCTGTGCTGCAGAGGCTGCAGACAGTTTCAAAGTGCTGCGCTCAACCCGATGCGCCACCGGGGAGGCCCTCATGGGTTGTATTTCCACTCTCTTGATGGTATCCTTACAAAGTCAAATTAATCTGTTTTCTTTTGTTGCCTATCCTTTTGATAATCACATATCAGAAACCAGTGTCTAGTCCAAGGTCAGAGATTTACACCTTATTTCTTCTAAGAGTTTTACAGTTTCAGTTTTTAAATTCAGGTCTTTTATGTATGTTGAGTTAATTTTTGTATATGATGTAAAGATGGCCTCCAACCTCACTATTTACACACAGAAATGCCGTTGTCCAAGCATAATTAGTTGAAAAGACTATTCTTCCCCATTGAAATCTTTTGGCACCTATATTTAAAAAAAACAACAACACAAAAAACAATTAATAGTAATTTTGAGGGTTAATTTCTATTCTCTCAATTCTACCCCACTGACTTATATGTTTATGGTGTTACAGCAAGGCCTGGGTTAGCATAGATTTGTAGTACATTTTAAAATTTAGAAGTGTGAGTCTTCCACTTTGTTCTTTTCCAAGACTGTTTTGGCTATTCTGGGTCTTTCAAATTTCTTTAGAATCAGTTTATTTACAAAGTCATGAAAATTTTCCTAACACATTGAAGAATATATTGAAAATCAAATATATCAAAAAATTCCAGAACAGGTGCTCTAGAGCCAGGGTCCTCAGCAACATGAGACCTTTGATAAGTATTACACTATGATTTACATATTTAAAAATTTTTATCTTTACACATTATAAAATATTTTAGACATACCAAAAAATTAATTAAAAAACAAATGCCAGTGGCCCCCTTATGCAGCTTTACAAAAATAATAATAGGTCCTCCTTGGTGGTGCAGGGTAAACCCTATGCCATCAAGCTATCGCCAGCCACTGCAGCACAAGTTTGATCCCCCGTCAGGGAGCTAATCCACATGGCACAGCAAACCTCTCCTATCTCGCCCACTGCTCACTCAGCAGCGTATTTCAGTACATCCGCCTGTTCTACTCCCCACTCTGTCTCTGGTGAATCCTCTCACCCCCCCCCACACCTCTGGCCTCCAACCTAATTCCTGTATGCATAAATAAATAAAGATAATAAGACAGAAAGCAAGCAAACAAGCTATCCATGCTACCAATGACTTGCCCTACACCTCAGTTTCTTCACAGGTAAACTGGAGAAAATAGTCACAATGATTAAACAAAGTATAATGTACTTCTCTCAGTGCCTCAATACATGCTAATGAAAACCAATCAATCAATCAATCAATCAATCAGAATTCACAATTAGGCTTCCAAACAAATACATTTATTAAGGGAGCAGGGATCCTGACTGTCATGCCTCTAGACAACAGAGCAAAGGAGCACTGCCTACCAGACTTTGGTCATGAACTAGTTATATCTGGGCCTTCCTAGTAGATCTCAGCTAGAGTGCTTCTAATGACTAAATTCTTGGGCACTCAAATAACTGTCCTTAATGAAATGGATAGCAGAATCTATACTCAGATTCAATCAAAGGCCTTGGCTTGCAAGGTACCTTAAAAAGTCTAAAGGTAGGGTGCCTCCCTGGTGACCTAGGGGTTAAGTCTCAGCACTATTACCATGATGACCTGAGTTTGATCCCTGACCTGAGTTCAATCCCAGCCAGGGAGCTAACCCACATGGCGCAGCAGACCTCTCCTGTTTTGCCTGCTGCTCCCCTTAGCAGTGCATTTCAGTAAATCTGCCTGTTCTGCTCCCCACTCTGTCTCTGGTGAATCCACTCACCCCACTGGGGTGCACCTCTGGTCTGCACCCCAGTTCTTCTATACACAAATAAAATCTTAAGAAAAAAAAAAGGACCTCGCAGGTGGCGCAGCGGTTGAGCGCTGGGTTGCGAAGCTGCCCGCGGCCTCTACGGCACCGGTTCCATCCCCAGCTGCTCCCCGGCCACCGGAGGAGGGTCCCACATGGCACGCAGACCTCTCCTGCCGCCCGCTGCTCCCCTCAGCAGTGTACCTCAGTCCTTCGGCCTGCTCTGCTCCCCGCTCTGGCTCTGGTGAATTCTCTCACCCTGCCGCGCTTCTGACTGTACCCAGTGCATGTATAAACAAAACAAACAAACAAATAAATAAATAAAACATGCCTCTATTAAAAAAAAAAAAAAAAGCCTAAAGGTAGGAAAGTCTCCTTTCATCAGAGGCACATAGGCATCCTCTTCTTCCCCTGCTGGCCCTAGTTCCTAGGACATGCTCTTCATTCTGATGCTCTCAATCTCCCTGGTTCCTGAGTTTCACCTTGGTTCCCCAGTCAGAATTCAGTTCTGCATTAGTAACTTTTACACTGTCAATGAGACATGTGCTACTTTTGCATAAGGCTTTAAGTACAAAAGAGTTACATGTTTAACATACAAACTTAATTTACAAATGACCAAGTAACGTAAACAATGCACGCATTTCCACAGGTGCTAACACAAATGTCCCATGACCCTTGAATGTGTTCTCCATCCTATAGATGCCAAATCTTGATGAACTTTCCAAAGGCTGGTTCTAGTGTTTGGAGTTGACATTATCATGATCTACCTCCCCCTGGCAGTTATTTTTGCTTCCTCAAAAGAAAAAGCAGAGAATAAAGAAATTAAGGTGTAGGAAATGGGTATTAAGGAATTAAAGTAGGAGTTTAGGCCTCTTTTGCTTTGACAGATGGGAGGCAGGAAGAGAAGCGGCTGACAGTACGTGCACACACCCTACCCTCAATATCAATGATCAACAAGGAAATGCAAATCAAAACCACACTGAGATAAATACTTCATACACATTCTGATCACAGTAATAAAAAAGACAAACAATAACAAGTGTGAATGAGGAGTGGAGAAACTGAAACCTCATACCCTTTTGATGGGAATGTAAAATGGTGTAGTACTTTGGAAAACAGCCTGGTGGTTCCTCAAAAGGTTAAACAGAGTTACCATATGATCCAGCAATTCCACTCCTAGGTAATATCTAAGAGCTATGAAAATGTATATCCACAGGAAAGCTCACAAAACAAAGTGTTTCTAACAGCGTTATTCATAATAGGCAAAAGTGAAAACAATCCAAATGTCCATGAACTGATGAATGGATAAACAAAATGCAGTATACCCATAAAAAGAATGCCATTGGGCAATAAAAAGAATAAAGTATATGCTATGACATAGTTCATGAAAGAACCTTGAAAATATTATGAGAAGTGAAAGAAGCCAGCCTGCATTTATATGAAAAGTTCAAAAAGGGCAAATCCACAGCAACAGAAAGCAGATGTGTGGTTGCCCAGGGCTGAGGGTTGAGGGAAAAAGGGCTAATGGGTACAGAATTTCTATCCTAAAACTAGACTGTGGTAGTGACTATTCAACTGTGAACATTCTAACAACCACTGAATTCTACCACATGAGTGGGTGGCTTAAATAGTATATTAATTAGATCTCAATAAAACTGTTAAAAGAGGAGGGTAATCATATATACCATGGGACAGAGCCGTGTCTGCTCTACCTCAGTCTGAATGCTCTTGGAGTTCTTCCTTGCATTTACATGCACTCAGAAACACACTCTAGTGTGCTCTGACGTCTACAGCCAGTCCATACCGAGTTTCTGTTTCAGAGCCTCTGTCCAGTGAGTGATCTCTACCTTTCCATTTCAAACAACATATACCTCATCTAAACACCCAATCGATCTCTACATGCCTTGACAGTTGGTTTATCCAAACCAGTACCCAACTGAGAGCATAAATAGAATCTGCTTTAATTTCATGACACACAAGGGTGTTTGAGAGCTCCAACAGTGCTTAGGCAGACCAATGATGATGAGGGTCAGATCTGCACAAGGGGACAGGGCAAGTATGCCACAGAACAAAGTCCTGGGCATTAGTCCCACCCTGCATGAGCTAGATAACCTTAGATAAGTCACTTGGTTCCTTTATGCCTCTTGTCTGCTTCATTTCCACTGAAATAGCTCTGCCCCAGGGAAAGTAAACAGATGAAAAGAGATGGTCAGAAGAAGCCCATGGTACCTGGCCCTGGACAAGAGGTCACACTTCACCGGTGACGTTTCCTATGCCTAGGCAATTCTTTGCTCTAGGTCTTCAACCTGCAGGAACATCACTTTCATCACTAAACAAAAAGGGACAAAAAATTTTCTAGACCCACATGCTCTGTGGGATTTAGGTGGAGGACTCCTTGGGAGTGTTTAGGGTAAGGACAGAGTCCATTTTTATCCAGAACTGGTCCCTTCCATAGGAGCTGTTGGCGCCTAAATGGACACTCTACAGGACTCGTGGGTGCAGACAATGAATGGAGGGTGTCAGCAGTGAGGTCTAGGGCTGGAGGCTGGGCCTAATCCTGGGTACCCCCCTTATGTCTGACCCATGGACACACAGGAAAACCCACAGAGTGCTACAGGCAAAGCTGACAGTGAACAATCAATGAGCATTGTCCCCAATCTCCAGGAGGATTTCCAGAGTCTTCATGACACCCTTCCCCTTCCCTGGCCTCTCTGTCAGGGGCCTGCCCATCAAAGCCTTACCCGAGTCTTGGCCTTCAGGAACACATGGCTCTCCATATCCTTGCTAGATTTACTGTGGGCCACGCCAGCTTTTCTCATGGCATCCTCGCTAAAACACAAAAGAAGAAATGTTGACATATTAAAGAGTCCATTCTTGCAGGGTTCCTGGTCAGCAGGCCCTGCACAGTACTGCCCCTGGGTGGTCGGGGTGATGCTCCCTGGCACATCAACCTGCAAGGTCAAGGAGCATGATGGAGGGGCACTCAGCAAAGCAACAAAAAGCAGCCTAGCAAGAAAGCAAGAAGGCAGGGCCATAAGAAGGAAAGAACCAGAAATGTATCACCATAAAGCAAAACAGCCAACCTCAGTTCAAAGAGGCAGAGAAGTAGGCCAAGGGATCATTCACAACCAGCACAAAATCAGGTGCACATCAGATAGCTGAGTGGCCACCTGCCCCTGAGTTGCCTGGCTCCCCACTCAACTCTGGTAATAACAGCAGAGGAAACTGGCTCCTGTTTCTGCTACAAAAAGGGGCCAATCAAGTTACTTCTCAGTCCCTCCCAAGGCAAAGGTTCCCTATGTGGGACATGCAGGTTCTCCAAGTGAGACCAAGGAGACAAGACCTAATTTCTAGTTGGGGACATCAGGAAAAGAGAGACTATACAAACGTGGAAAACATCTTCCAAACACAATTGCCCACATATGAGCTGGAATCATAACTGGACCAATCATGCCTGATTGGTAAGAAATAGGATCCTTTCACAGGTTTCATTAAGCCAAAGCTCTGCTGAGAAAGGCTCTGCACCTGGGCAAGAGTGAGCTACCCTTGAATGGCTCCACGCGTGCGCACGCGCACACACACGCACAAATAAGAACACAGGTGCATTTATTTTAAAGAAAGGGGCACATCAGGCTGGGGCCGGTGGCCTGGCCCATGGCCTATCTTCTTCCCATAGGATGGGCCTCCTGATAAAAAAAAAAGAAAAAGCAGGTCAGGTCTCTGAGCAAATTAAACAAGTCCACGCCAGCTAGTGCGAGAGAGCTTTCTGGCCACTCTAGACACAAACAGATAAACCTCAGGGTACTGACAGACTATGTGTACATGGAGCTGCAGAATCAATTCTGTAATTCCTCAGAAAAATCCCATGCTAAGAGATGTACAAATCTGTATTAACATAGAGAAAAATTAAACAACATAAATTAAAAATTAATACACTGCACATTCTACATATGCATTCTAAGTCCCTATACCCATCCATTGAGAAGTCTTTATCAGGTGAGGAGACAGCAACAGATTCTTGATGGCAAGGAAGCTTGGGTGCAGCACACATACACCCCAGGGGAAATGTGACCAGAGCCTCGAGAGAGTCGAGATAGGCACGAGGCAGCCTACAAGAGACACCAACTGTGGTGAAGCAAACTCCACAGCTGGAGTTGGAGAGACATCACCCGGCATGATCTAAGCCACTGAGCATTTCCAATGAGAGAAGTAACTGAGCAGAAGAATTTGTCCCCTGTGCCTCCCAGGACCATACCCGTTGTTCTTTCTACCTTTCAACAGTGATTGTGAAGTAAACCCTGACACAGAGACTTGCCCAGAGCCTTGGAGCAACCAATAAGGTGACCCAGAGTTGTGGACATGGGTGGAGGGCACTGGCCACCCAGCCTGGAGGCTGGGCGCATGGAGAGGAAAAGGGTAGAAGGTGGAACCAGGAACCACAAAGAGGCAGAGGGGGTTGCATAGAGTTCTGAGAGCGGGATGGGCTCTATGCCCAAGATAAGCAATAACAGTAGTTAAGCCAGACTCCTAACCAGCTAAAAGTAGTCTTCCCGAGTTCCAGGCTGGCCATTTCCAATAGCATCAGCAAACACTGTACACCCCGACTGTGGCAAAGATGCCTGTTACATGCCTACAGACAAATCACTGTTGCACCCCAGCTTTGTGCAATAGTTTTGAGATGGTGGAATTTCACTGGGCTCCCTGGTGAACCAAGGCCAATGTGACAGCAGATGCCAGATCTGCTCCATCCTAATCAGAGACATCACAGACAACATGGACAGTGTGGGCGCTGTTAGTGACTTAACCTGAGGAGCATCAACAACAGAGGTCAGAAACAGGAACATCTTGACAACCTAGAACACACATCTTTACGAAATGAAATAGAACTGGAATAAATGTCCAGCTCCGGCCTGTGAACGATGCAAGGGGCTACAGGGCAGAATCCAGAAGGGAAACTGCTCCTTGGCCAGGAGCCAGGATTCTGTGAGGCAATACTGTTTCTAAGTGACTCACACAGCCCTTCTGCTGCCCAGAGTGGCGCCTAACCAGACAGGTCCTGCATGTTTGTTGGCTGAAAAATAAACAGATACCCTTGAGCACTGTTCTCAGTTCTGCAAACCACATTTTAAAAAGTGGTTTTGCTCCTGTTTCTCTTCTGAAGATCATGCTCCATAAATTAGAAAGCAAAAAATAAAGTATACCTGTTCTCTCTAATAACCAACATCCCCCCAACCCCTCTCCAAAGGTGAGGGTCTCCCCTCTTTCCTTTCCAGCCATCTTAGCATTTTGTCAGAAGCACCCATCTATTATCTGGGCACTAATTTCACATCACGCTGCATTCATACCCAATCTAAGGTATGAGTGTCCCTCCTTTTACTCTCAGGGACCAACACATCCACCACATGAGACTATCTGGGGGATCCAATCACATACTGGAACACATAAGTAGGCTGCTCAGCAAAAAGTCTCTTTTAATGACTCTCCAAGTTGGGCTTTGCTGCCATCTGCAGAACACCTGCCTGGTCAGTTGGACCTGAATGGCCACTCTTCGCCTTAGGTCTCCAGAAAACACTCCTTCCAGGGAATGTCACTATATTAAGATAAACTGTGATACAAGGAAATAGCCCCAAACGCAAGCAGAGGTTACAATCTCAAAGAAACAACTGAGAAGAGCCAACAGTGAGCTCTGCCCTCACACAGGTAGGCCCACAGGTCTGTGCCAGGAAGACAAGGGTCTGCCCAACTGGGAGAGGAGCAAAAAACAGTGTCAGCTCAAAAAGAATACACTCTACATAGGTGTCCTGCTACAGCTGCAATACCAAGGCTGCCAAACCCAAGGCTGCCAGGGAGGTATGTGAGCACTGTAACAGAAAAGGTCTGTCTAGTGGCTGCTGCCTGAGTGTGACCAATCCTCCAGCAGATGGATAGAGGACTGGTACCATCTCTGAGTACATGGTCCCTGCTGTCACCGGGACTCCAAAAGTTTCCTTGGTCTAGCTTCCTCCAGGTCACCAGGTACCTGGCTGAGATGGGAGCCTCCCAAGGAGACCCAGATCCATCACACAGGCCCTGTGAGACCTCTCATCAGGGAGTCAGAGGAGGATCTTATCTGCCCAGACCCTGCCTGAGCAACCAGAAGTGACATACCAAGAAAACACCCTGCAACTGTAACAGGAGCCACCATAGCTCTGGTGTGGCAGGACATGATTGGCTTTGCTGAGGCCTACCTCTCAGCAGCAGGTTTAACCACCAAAGTAACCAGAGCTACCGACATGTAGGGAGAGAGGCACACAGCACACTCCCGCCCCACCCCCATCCCAGCTCAGTCCACAGGTCAGCCTAGCAGGCTCTGAAGGTCACAGCAACCTGCACTGTGGCCACTTGGACCTATGCCCCACTTCACTTCAGGGCCCAACACTGACACCAGACTGCCTAGCCTCAGCATAGGTTGGGTTCGGACACAATGGTGGGGCTTCAGTTTTTAACAGTGCATTGGTTTTGAAATGGACCAATTAGGGTCAAGCTCCCAATGGACCAATCAGGTTCGAGTTCCCATAAATGCCATTCAAGATTTTCAGACCATTCAGGAACTGTAAATGGACCAATCAGATTTGAGCTCAACTGAGACCAATCAAGCCTTGTAAACAGAGCTGGAATCATAAATGGACCGACCAATCAGGCCTGAAAGGCTGATTCCCTGAAGGGAATATAAGTCAAGCTTTTAGAGGGTTTGAGAGACCTCCGCATATTATCTCTCTAATTTGCAGCCTGACTGCTGCTCCTGTCACTAGTCTAGTCTATGACATCAACTTCTGACTGGTACTATCAGTCTGTGCCCCATCTTTAAAAGAGGGGTATATTGGTGCCTGGTCCCCTGGCACTGCTCTTTTAAGCTGTCTGCCATTGGCTTATTCCTGGCACCTCTAAGAGAGGTCTACTGCACCTGCTCCTCAGCACTGCCTCCTGGTGCTGTTGTTCAGTATAGCATCTGGTATGGCCCACTTTAGCCTCCATATAAGTGGCACTGAGTTGGATCCTGGTCTACTACTTATTAGTGTGCCACCAGCTCCAGGCTCTTGTCAAGGAGACAATGCCATCTTGCAGGAGCAGCTTTTCATTTGGACTACTGGACACTGCAGACACTATCTGGAGTAGGAGAGCTGGCCATTGTGGCCTTAGAGACTTTTTACTTTCCCCCAATTTCCCTACTATTAATAAACCCTGTCATTGCACCCTGAACCCGAGTTGTGTCCTGCAATTGTAAGTACATGGGTGAGGGCCCAAGAACCGTGACATTCCCCAGACTTTGCAAATTATATAACCTTAGTGCTATGCCCACCAACTGTCTAAATCAGGAACTTGGAAACCCCCTCTCTGCTTTCCTATCCCCTAAAGTTCACATCCACACCCCATCTCTCACAGCACAGATGGCAATCCCTCCAAACAGCCTGTCTCCTGGCCCCATCCCCTCCACCAACTCCCCAAGATACAAGGCTGCTGGTGAGAGTGGGAAGTGGCCCAAACCACCCTGTCCCCCACTCCCTCCCCAGCTCAAGGGCCTTGTTTGCTGGGCCCTCCAACTTTGCTCCCAACCCAGCACTCTGCCTCACAGAAACCCTGTGGTCATTTCTACCATACCTGTGGGAATTACTGGCTTTCTGTCTGTCAATTCCATAGTCCTTATGACCACCCTGAGAGCAGACAATGCCAGCTTTGTATGCAGCAGACAGCTATGAGCATTGTACAAAATAACTATTTGTAACAAAAGGAGTGGTATCACCCTGCATTTTGATGGCTATGAGGTGCATAATTGAAATCGTGTGGCAGGC